TATTGTATACAAGTAGATTTGGCAGTGAGCATCTATTCCAGTACACAAGCAAATGGAATCAAGATTGAAGATCAGCAATGATATAGTTGTATATTCAAGGTTGAAATTGATAGATTTTTAAATCAGTAAGGGGATCAAAGGTTATGGGGAAAAAGGCAGGAAAGTGGAGTTGAGAATTATCAGATTAGCCATGATCTCACTGAATGGCTAGCAGACATGATAGTTTGAATGGCCACTTCTGCTCCTACATCTTATGATTTAGCAGTGTCCGATGCTTCCGAAGCCAGCAAGGTTTCTGTGCAGGTTCAAATTTGAAACAAGAACAGCTCGAGCCCAGGTGAAGGAGCTCCTCACCTCACCAACATTGCCAGCAGTACACCTCAACACAGCCACGTAATTTGCCAGCCACTCTCTGACTGTAATATGGACACAAAGCATAGTCACTGAATGTGGATTCTACTGGTTGAAACAATTTGAGATTCCAGAGCAGCATCTCTTTATAAACCAACAATGATAGACACTGAACTTAATAATGGCATATATGTTACTTCATACCATTAATATAATGTACTACCCCAAGAAGCTTCACAGAAGCGTTTATAAATAAAACCTTACACTGTAAAAATTATGACAGGTGACTAAAAACCCTACACTTTGACCAAGTTTTAAACAGCAGCCTAAAGGAGGATCAACGCTAACAGACAAAAAGATTTAAGGAGATAATTTCAGAGCATAGGTCCTATACAACTGCCAATGATGGACTGAAAGAAATAAGGGATGTACAAAAGTCCAGAATAATGGTAGCACTTACGTTCAAGAGTTATAAGTTTGGAGATGGCCACAGACACAGAGAAGACTAAAGCCCTGGAGGATTTGCGTACAACCAGAGAAAACTTTAAAATCAAGGTTTTGCCAAACCAGGAGCTAATGGAGGTAAATAATCACAGGAGTTATGGGTAAATGAGATACTGCCAAAACCAGAACACTATGTATGAGTAGAGTTAGATCTTCTGGCAGCTCTTGTTCCAAGACTCAGAGTCTTCTCATCAGTTGAAGAATAACAGTTGGACAGAAGCACAATGGACAGTACCATAGACAGATATTGTAACTTGCTTTCCAAGTCCAAAACCACATGACAGGAATAGCTATACTTATGACTTAATCCAAATCCACACCCAAGGGATCTGGACAATTAGCTATGTCCATTGTAGAGTTGACTGCTCCTCCAGACAGGCCAGCATTGGTCACAGCATTTCTATTTACTTTTCACTGCCATGAATCCATCAGCCAAATGGGATGAAGGAGATTTTACTGTACCAAACTTACCTCTTCCTAAATGAGGAAAGAGAACAGTTTGCACAAATTTACAATCCATCACACAGTTGAAACCAAGACAGAACAAAAAGCCGTCTCAGACCCATCCTATGCTGTACTATATTGACCAGAACAAAACAAAATAAAGGAATTCAGAGAAAGTAAGAACTGCAGATGCTGGAGTCAGAAATAACACAGTGTAGAGCTGGAGGAACACAGCAGGCCAGGCAGTGTCAGAGGAGCAGGAAAGTTGACGTATTGGGTCGAGACCCTTCTTCAGAAATGGGAAGGGGGAAGGGAGCTCAGAAATAAATAGAAAGAGGAGGGGTGGGACTGGGGAAGATAGGTGGGATGGTGATAGGTGAGTGCAGGTAAGGAGTGGTGGGGATTGGTCAGTGAGATGGGATGAGTGGTTAGGTGGGAAAGAAGCAGGACAGGTTGTGTCAGGTCAAGGAGGCGGGGATGAAAGAGGGGTTGGTCATGGGTGGGGAGATTTTGAAACTGGTAAAATCCACATTTAGGCCATTGGGCTGTAGGCTCCCGAGGCAGAATATGAGGTGCTGCTCCTCCAGCTTGCGGGTGGCACCATTGTGATTGCAGGAGGCCCAGGATGAACATGTCACCCAGGGAGAGGGAGGGGGAGTGGCAGTTGAAATGGTTCGCAACTGGGAGGTGTTGTCGTTTGTTGTGAACAGAGCGCAGGTGGTCTACAAAGCGGTCTCCGAGCCTCCACTTGGTCTCACCAACGTAGAGGAGGCCATATCGGGAGCAGTGGATGCAATAGACCACATTGACGGATGTGCAGGTGAACCTGTGTCTGATGTGAAAGGTTTGTTTTGTGCCTTGAATGGAGGCGAGGAGGAAGGTGTAGCGCTTCCTGCGGTTGCAGGGAAAGGTGCCGAGGGTGGTGAGGCTAGTGGGGAGTGTGAAGTGGACGAGGGAGTTGCGGAGAGGTGGTCCCTATGAAAGGCAGTTAGCAGTGGGGATGGAATATATCTTTCGTTGTGGGGTCGGATTGTAGGTGGCAGAAGTGGCGGAGAATGATACGTTGGATGCGGAGGTTAGTGGGGTGATATGTGAGGACAAGGGGGATTCTGTCTTTGTTTTTGTTGGGGGAAGGGGATGTGAGGGCAGAGGTGCAGGAAACGCAAGAGATGCAGTTGAGAGAATTTTCGATTACCGAAAGGGTGAAGTTGCGGTCCTTGAAATAAGAGGACATCTGGGATGTTCGGGAGTGGAACACCCCATGTTGGGAGCAGAGGTGGAGGAATTGGGAGTAGGGGATCGCATTCTTGCAGGAAGGTGGGTGAGAGGAGGTGGAATCTAGGTAGCTGTGGGAGTCGGTGGGCTTGAAATAGATGTCAGTTTCGAGGCGGTTGCGGTCCCTATGAAAGGCAGATAGGGGTGATTATAACTCACTCAGAGATAGTAAGAACTGCAGGTGCTGGACTCAGACATAACACGGTGTGGAGCTGGATTCTCCGTGACTCCCTCGTCCCCTCCACACTCCCCACTAACCCCACCAACCCCACCATCCCCAACACCTTTCCCTGCAACAGCAGGAAGTCCTATACCTGCCCATACACCTCCCCCCTCACCTCCATTCAAGGAACCAAAAAAACCTTTCACATCAAACAGAGGTTCACCTGCACATCCGTCAACATGGTCTATTGCATCCGTTGCTCCCGATGTGGCCTCCTCTACATTGGTGAGACCAAGCTAAGGCTTGGAGACTGCTTTGTAGAGCACCTGCGCTCTGTTCATGACAAATGACAACACGTTCCGGTTGCGAACCATTTTAACTCCCCCTCCCACTCCCTGGGTGACATGTCCATCCTGGGCCTCCTCCAGTATCACAATGACACCACCCGGAAACTGGAGAAGCAACACCTCATATTCCGCCTCGGGGGTCTACAGCCCAATGGCCTAAATGTGGACTTTACCAGTTTCAAAATCTCCCCACCTCCGGCCTCATCCCATGACCAACCCCCCACTCTCATCCCCACCTCCTTGACCTGACACAACCTGTCCATCTTTTCTCCCACCTATCCGCTCCTCCAACTTTACTGACCAAACCCCACCACTCCCTACCTGCACTCACCTATCACCATCCCACCTACCTTCCCCAGCCCCACCCCTCCTCT